GACGCCAATGTCTCGATACCCACTGTGGGCAACGCTGCGGATACACCGACCGCCGTTGGTCTCAACTCAACAGATACAACCTTCCCTGACGGTGCCGATGAACCCCAACCAGGTGCGGAGGGTGCCGAGTGGGAAATCGATTCATCACCCTACGAGTCCTCTTCAGACTCCGACTCCGACTCCGACACCTCTGAGGATACGTCGTCGGAGGAAGACAGCGACGAGGATGCTGACGGCGACTACGCCATGCTGGATCCCGAGGAGACGGCAAGAATACTCATGCAAGGTGATGCAGGTTCGGATGACGAAGGAGGAGGACCCCGAGACAGAAAAGAGGGAGGTCCACTCCGGACGGCAAATGAACGTGTGGAAGAAGTCATACCCAAACCGAACATTACCGTCACAGAAGACATGAAGATTGAAGAACTGGGCAACGTTGAATTCGTGGTCGAGAGTACGGTTGTTGTCAAGGCCCAGACGTCGGGAGAATATCAAGTCTTGGAACCTGGATCCTTGATTTGTCTCAAGGACCGATCGGTGATTGGAGTGGTTGCCGACTTGATTGGACGAGTCGAGGAACCCAGATACACGATTCGGTTCACCAACGATGACGATATCAAAAGCGCCGGGGTTTCCGAAACTGGTACCACAGTCTTCTACGTCCCTCAACATTCCACGTTTGTCTTCACCCAACCCTTGAAGGGTGTCAAGGGAAGTGACGCGTCGAATTTCCACGACGAGGAAGTTGGTGAGGACGAGATGGAGTTCTCAGATGACGAGGCTGAGGCCGAGCACAAGCGCCAGATGAAAGCCAAGAGGCAGGGGAGGTCGCTGGAGCCAGGCAGGGGCCGTGGCAACTCGAAGTTTTCTAGAGGGCCGCATCGTGGCGGGGGCCGAGGAGGCCATCATGCTGATCATCGTCAGCGCAACCCGGGTGATGGCTCCGCCTACGGCAATGGCTCCCTGGAAATGAATTATGACGATGCCCCGGTGCCAGATGCCGGCGACGACGGCTATACGCCATTGCAAAGACCACCTGATCTCGCAGAGATGGTCGCCAAAGGCGATCAGCCTCAAGAGTCGTTCCGGGAACGCGGTATGACGCATCCACTTCCACCGCCTCCCCAAACTTCGCATTTCAGAGGAGGGGAGTCGGGTGGGCGAGGGAGAGGCTACGGTCACGGGCGAGGGGGTCGAGGAGGATTCCGGCCGCAGCGTGGACGGGGAGGTTTCAATCAGCACCAGCCTCAGCAGCCTCGAGAGCCTCCGTTCGGTCACAATAATGCATCCCGCAGCAACCATCAAAATGGGTACAACCCATCGTCCACCGCACCCTTGCCTAGTCTCAACGTCCCGACGACGCCTTCCATAACACCGCAAAACATAACATACCCACCAATGACGCCTTCACCCATCACCCCTCTCCCGAATGTCTCGTTCAATTTTGGCCAGGGCTTTCAGCCCCCGACCAACTTTGCACCATTCGTCGCCCCGCCAGGCATGCCTCCACCGCCCTTGTTCCCTGGTGGCAATTTCGCCCCTCACCAGGCGCAGCACCACCAGCAGCAGCAGTTACAGCAACAGCAACAGCAGCACCTGGGCCAGTACCAGGGCGGACCGCAGAATTACCTCTCCGGAGCATGGGCCAGTAACCCGGCGATCGCAGCGGCGTTGCAGAGACAAGTGGAAGAACAGCGGCGGGCACAGGGACAGGGACAGTAGAATAAAAAGTGTTTTGTGGGCGGTAGAGATAGATGTACCGTATGATTTGTTTTTTCTTTTCAGCCTTGGAAATAATAGGCACAGTTCGCCGTCGGATTCTCGACCACCCACTCCTCTAATTTTCTATCTTTGGGCCTGAGGACGATCTTTGGGTTGAAGGAGAAGCCAGGCTCTGGCAAATCGACCTTCGTAAAGGCAGCCTTCCATTTCCGCTCGACGCAAGAAAAGCCTGGCCTGGCGACTACCTAGATTCGCATGTTCCTTCTTTCAATGCACGCGGCACGACGTGACAACGCGGTAGAGAGCTCGAGCCTAAGCCAAACTTTGACTGGGCCGTTTTCGCTCGCTCACTCGCTCGCTGCTTTGCTTTTACCAGTTGCCAATCTCAAGCACCGCGGGAGTTTTGACTCCTGCTGAGCAATTCATGGATGGCTGGATGGGTGGATGGATGGTGTTGTATCAAACATCAAACAAACGAAGGGGACAAAGACCCTGCAGGGTAAGCGCGTCCAATGGGCATTCAATGAAAGGAATTCCCTCCTATCCCTTTACTCAATACTCGATACATACGCACCAAGCGATCGAAATCGGCAAACTTTTTCACATTTTATCGACGAGAATCCGCCAGCGAGAAACCCTCATCTCTTTCAAAAATTTTATAACAACTCGCTCTTTGGTAAAGTGGCAGCCTTTTCTCGCATCAGTTTCTCCGCGCCGGCCCATACAGGATTACTCCTCCAATTCTTGAGCTCCAGTAAATGGGGCAACAGATCGTTGCTAAAGGCCTCGCTTGCCTCTCGGGGCAACAAACTCGGCAAATGATCAATGCTGATGACGCTGAGCGCCGGCTCGCCCTTGACCTCGACAGGAACGGTGGGTTTGTCGAATGTGGTTGCGACCGTGTAGATGGGGATCGGGTTGTTTGGATTTGTCGTGTCTGCGGAAACGTCACAGACGACGGACAGCTTGCGGCCCGGTGTGTCGAGCGATTGCATGTCGACAAAGTTGGGGATCTTCGTGTTGAGGTAAATGCAGTTGATGAAGATGTCGCTCTCGACGATCTCTGGAAAAGGGCCACCCTTGGCTGTTTGCGTCTGTTAGTTGTTTTTTCACTTTTCACTTTAAAACTCTGAACTGTGATTTTATTACCTGTCTCTGCCATATCCCACCGAAGGACGTTCTCGGTTGGGATACCAGCTCTCGAGCACAAGTCAACTGCACCACTGCCACAGCGCCCCAAAGCTCCAATGATAAGCACTCTTGGTGCCTTGCCCGTCTTCTCAGCTCCTTGTGCGAGAGCCTTCTTGACGTCGGTAATCAAGGCGTCGACGTTGGGGTATGATGACACAGATGGAAGTGGTTGGTCTGGATGGTTGATTTGCCATGCCCTACAACGCTCTTTGGGTCAGACCTGGCTATTTTAAGCAAAAGCTTTGGGGGTGCCGGGGGAAGTTGTTTTGTTGTTGCAATATAACTCAGATAAGTCTTCTCGGCACCCACAGTAAAGTCCCAAAAAGCAAGTTTGGGGGTCCATAGGGGGGGAGATTTACCAGTTTATGACTGCTAAAGCAGCACTGTTCAATCCAACCGATTAGCAATTACTCTCTGAAGAAGTAGAAGGGGTCATCGAAACACTGTCCAAAGTGGAGTGCCACCCAGGCAGTATTGCACCTTGAGACAAGGGGGAAAAGGACGATATGAAGGAGACGTACCCAGCAAACCCAGCGTGATAGCCAAATGCCTATTCGATTTCAGACTTGACATTCCAGGCAGAATCACTGACAGGGGACATGTTACATACTGCTACTCTCCGTCCATTCGAGTCGGTCAAAAATTCGAGGTCCAAGAGCACGCCATTTCCTCGGACAAATCTGGCGAGAACCTTTTCCCATCCCGCCTGTTGCTTATAACAGTGGGCGAATTGGACATGTACATGCTCCAGGGGGACTTTTGGCGACGTCAGCTGCCAATGCGACAAGATCTTTTTGTCCATAAAAAACTCACATGTCTCGACTGGCAGCTCCTTGAGACCAATGATGATGTTGTCCTTTGGCGCATCCCGCCACGTATTCTCTGGTACTAATGTGGCTCCAACCTTTTCGTATTCCTCGTCATCGAAGATTCTTTGAGGGCTCCGCTCAACATTGACCTGGTATCCTGCATCGATGAGGGCTTTTGTGGTGGTCGGAGTCAGCGCGGCTCTATCGCCAGTGTCAGCAATTGCTCCGTGACTCTTGGAGGGTTGAATCGTGCTGAGGCGCAACGGCTTGAGCTGCTATGCCAGGTGGCCATGCGCCTTGGACAGACAGTCCTAGATCTGTGTCTGAAGGGCCCCGCGGCGGACGTGACTCGAAGGGATCAGACTAACCTGCGCTCGCGCTGCTTTCCAACTAGAAGAACATCAGCGAATGCGCGTGGTTAGACAGATAGGTAGACTTTACGTTCTGACCGTAGATGCAACGTAGTTGGCTTCATTTTTCGTTGGACAGGCCAGTTTTAATCCCTTGACTCATACAAAGTCCCGAGTTGGTTTCAAAAAATAAAAAAGACTATCCAAAGGGCGCAGTTTTTGTACGGGGGATCACTGCCAATGACTACGGTGCCGTACAGGGGCTTGAGGGAACCTTTGCGCTACTTGTCTGCCGTCTTCTACACCCCAAGTAATTAACTCGTCAGCCCGCGCTGTCGAGCTGTATTCTCCTGTAGAACATGCACGGACAGACGGACGGTATTTGGAATTTATTGAAAAGTTTTCATTCATTATTCTAAATTCCGACTCCCTCTTCTGATACCCCCCTCTCTGTCTCTCTCTTTTCCTTCGCCACCCCCCTAAAGCAAACGCTGAACAGGCGATGTGATGAATGTATAGTCGGGCGAGTTAGACAGCCGTCTCGACGAAGAAGGCGAGGGCTGACCATACTCGGTACAAAGAAAGAAGCTCCTCCCTCTATCTCTATTAGCGGATTTTCAAGTCCTCGGCGGTACATTTTTTCAATTTTCTTTTGGAAACCTTGGGAAAGTCCGGCGCTATTGCACACCCCATGTCCAACGTACTTTTGATCGTCTTTCGGCAACAGCGTACAAGTGTGCGCAAGAGGAAAGAAGAAATGAAATGTAGCGAAATCAACAGGCCCGGCTGATCTCAACTCGGCTCAGGCAGTCGGACCGAGGACAACATCCTATCGTGAATCGAGGGTTAGTCAGGAACAATCCAATGTAAAGCAAGGCGAGGCGAGGCGAGACGAAGCTAGGCAAAGCATGGTCCCATGCAACGCAACCTAGTAATAACGAAATCCTTTAGATAAACTCACCCGACTAATCCTCCCTCCCAGCCCCCTCACCCGGATCCCCGTCCAGAACTCAAACTGCCACAGGCCCTGCGTGACCAGGGTCTCGAGGCCCTGCACCGTCTTCCACCCGCCGACCTGTTCGGCCATCTGCATCACGGCCGTGTGAGCGGGCTTGTACGCGAGCTCGAGCAGCGTGCGCGTCGGGGCCGAGGTGCCTTGGCCCTGTGGCGCGGTCGAGGTCGCGAGTTGCGCGGACCGCGAAAAGATACTTTGCAGCGTTGACGCCAGGGCCGGGTCGACGGGTTTGTCGGCGGGGATGGTGGCGATCGCGACGACAGGCACGGTCGGCATCTGCTGCTCCAGCGTCGTCGGTTTTGTTGTTTTCCCGGCCGCAGCGCCAGTGTCAAGTAACACGAGGTCATACGTCGGCGGGAACGTCTTGGCCAGCTCTACCATCTTGCTCTGGTTCCTCCCGATCAGGTAGATCGGCTTGTACCCCATCGCGTGCAGTGTGTGGATCGCCGCGCGCGCTGTGCCGCCTCCACCCACGACGAGGCCGGACTGCTCACCTTCACCTAGCGCGGCAGAGGCGCCCGCTGCGCGCAGGCAATCCATCATACCCAGATAGTCTGTGTTGTATCCGACCAGCGTGTTCTTGCCCGAGACCGGGTTGTGGACGGGCACAATGGTGTTCACTGCCCCGATGAGACGAGCAGATGCATCCACGTCGTCCAGAAGAGGCATGACATCCAACTTGAGGGGGATGGTCACACTCGCTCCTCCAAAGTCTTCGGCCCGGATCTTTTCCTTGATCACCGCCAAGTCGGTGGTCTCACACAATGAGTAGACGTGTGGCAGTCCAGTCTCCTTGAACAGAGTGTTGTGCAATGCCGGCGATTTACTCGCGCCAATCGGTGATCCGAACAGGTAGAATTTCTTGGGTACAATCTCGCCTACCAGGGTCAGTCCTTGCCGAATTTCGCTCGCTGAGAGTTGACCCGGTGCCGCTTTGAACGGGAGCGCTGGGTGAGAGACCGGCGTCATGAATCCGTTCAGGATCCGCGAAATCTGTCCTGTGCGGCCCATGTTTATCGCTATCAGAGGCAGGTCCGGGTGCTGGGATTTCGACCACTGCTTGAAGCGCCGCAGGGCGAAGTTGTCGTCCAGGTTATCGGCGATCCCGATCAGTTTGACGATGTCCCCGTACTGCAGGCATTTGTTGTAAACGGCGATCCAAGAACCGGGCTTCGACCATGATAACGTCCCCTGTGGGTCATGATGGGAAGCAATGATTCGCGTGCTAGACTTGTTCTTGAAGTTGAAAATCGGAGAGAGGATAGACTCCGGGAACGATGCCACTTCCAAGTCCAAGAATTCACTGCCCATACGGATAGCGAGAGTACACAGGTGTAGATACTCTGCATGGGCATCATCGGGGAATCTTCCACCTTGGGATTTCGTGCGGATGGTGAACACAACGGGAAGTGGAACTGCTGCGCGAAGCAAGGAGAGTTGAGCAGTCACATATTCGGCGGAGGGAATAGCGCTGTCTGAGTTGGGATCTTTCAGCAAGTCAACGCGCAGTTCTACTGCATCAGACCCGAGACAGACTTCAGGGAGGAGTTTCAAATGAGGCCGCAAGTCCGGGAAGGTCAGGGCTGCAAAGAATGTCTCTGGTTTTCGTTTGAACTGGGATAGAACGTCGACTTTGCCAGTGACCATCTGCAAAAAGCGATCGAAATCTTCGGCGGCTTCGGACATTTGCTCGTTGGGGATGCTTTGGCTGTAATACAACAGATTGCTGCATTGCTCGTACCAGGGTTTCCGGCGCAGCCAGACGCCCATCATGTCTTCGACGTATGCTGGTCTTGTTTTGTCGACCTGTAGAAAGCCCATCACTTCGCCAATGTCCCGTTGTACCAAGAGAACGTGGCCTTTCTTCTCGCGCCATTCAATTAACAGATTGCGCGATTCTTGAGTTTCCACGATGCCGCCTCCGCAGGCAAAGACGTAGTCGTTTGGCATCTCCTTCATGACGGATTTGAGGAGCTCCAACTCACGTTGACGGAAATGTTCCCAGCCGTGTCCCTTGATAATCTCCGGGATCGACTTGCCTTCACGTTTCTCCAGTTCGGTGTCCAAATCAACCAATTTCTTGCCGAGTGATCTTGCTGCCCAGCGCCCGGAGGTGGTCTTGCCAGCACCTCTCATGCCGATGATGAAAATCGAGGCTGCACTTCTGTCCAATATCTTCCCTCTGGCATGTTCGCTGTTCTCTTGTAGCTCGACACCTTCAAGCTTGACATTAAATTGTCGTGCCAAAGTGTCCCACCATCCAGGCCAAGTTTTGCCTGTGCATTCTTTCTCGAGAATAAGGGTGGGCTGAGGGGCCGCCAGCGCGAGAACACTAAAGCTCATGGCGACTCGATGGTCGTCGTAGCAATAGACGCCTCCTTCCGGACGTCTTAATCTGGTACGATCGATCCCGTCGACTTCGATACCGTCGTCAAATTGTCGACATGTAACACCAAACTTTGCCAACTCATCCTCCATCGCCTGAATGCGGTTGCACTCTTTCACCCTTTGGTTTGCAATGCCATAGATGCGTGTTGTGTTGGACTTGCCGCCCTGAGCCACAGCAGCCAGAACAGAAGCAGTCAAGAAAGCATCGGTCATGGGCTCCATGTCGATGTTCGTGAGTGGTGTAAGTCTGCCGTCACGGGGACCAGTCACGGTGGTTGAAGAAGGCGTCTGTTTTACTTCACACCCCATGGGCCTCAGCACGTCGGTAGCAAATGCCGAATCGCCTTGGAGAGATGCCGAGCCGATGTTGGGGATCGTGCATGTTGTTCCTGTTATCGCGGCAATTGCAAGTGGATACGTCGCAGAACTTGCATCGCTTTCGACCACGTATTCGTCTGGGTTCTTGTAAACGCCTTGCGGGATATGATATGTGTGGTCTTCTGTCTTCGACTTTTGCACAGAAACGCCGAAGGAGGCCATCATCGCAATAGTCATGTCAATGTAGGGCTGCGAAACCGGCTTTCCGCCCACGAGCCTGAGTGTAACAGGATTCTTTGCATAAGGAGCACACATTAACAGAGAAGAGACGTATTGTGACGAAACCTTTGCTGCCAGTTTGATTTCGCCGCCGTTGAAACCAGCCGAGGCTGCAATATTCAGTGGAAGACTCCCAGCGTTCTCCATGTATTCGATGCCGGCGCCGTTTTGCCTTAGTGCATCTACAAGGTCTCCGATGGGTCTCTGCTTCATTCGGGCATTGCCAGTGAGAACTGTAGATGCCACATGGCTTTGCCGGGTCAAGGTTGCGACAGACGTCAAGAATCTGGCGGCCGTCCCAGCGTTGCCCAGATAGAGCTCGTGTTGGGTGGCCTCAAGTCGACCACCGTTCCCGTTCACCACGAGAACTTCTCCGTCTTCTTCCCAGGAGAATGTAGCAGCCCCGAGCCGAGTCAATGCTTCCAGCATCACTTCTGTGTCTGCTGAAGTCAACAAATTTTTGATACGGCATGTTCCGTGACCCAGAGCGGCAAGGACAAGTGCTCTGTTGGAGATGCTCTTCGAGCCCGGTGGCGTGCAGACAACATTCAAGTCTTTGGGTACACCAGGGACCACCTCGATACTTGGTGAAAGAACAACACGCAGGTCAGAGTCTGAGACAACACTGGCTTTTTGTTCGTAAGTGCGACCTATTGCTGAGAGAAGGACCACCTTCTTCTTGGCACCATCGTTCTTCTTGTCGACGCCCATCTTCTTGAGCATACCGTCGACTGTACAGACCTTACCTCCAGACAGCTTGCGCACCTTTTCATCGTCCAGTCGAATTGGCAAACCGTACGTTGTCAGACACTTTTGCAGACGGCCGACCGCAACTCCACTGAGCACACCCAAGTAGCGAGCAAGCTCGGCCTCCTTGATCATGCCGATCGCGACGCATTCACCGTGTAGCACTTGAGGAGTCAGGAAAGCCTCCATGGCGTGGCCGATCGAGTGTCCAAAATTCAACAAATTTCGCAGACCGGTCTCTCTCTCGTCGATGGTGACGACGTGGGCTTTGAACTTGGCCGAGGCAGAAATGATCCTGATCATGGTTGCCTCTACGTCCTTGAACCTAGCAGCCCCTTGGCTGATATCGGCATTCACGGCGGCCATGATTCGGTCAGCATGACGCTCCAGCTCGATGAATTCTGCTTCATCTGAGATCGCAGCGGTCTTGATGACCTCGGCCATTCCATTTATCAGCTCTCGTCGAGGCAGAGTCCCGAGAAAGTCGAGGTCGATGTATATCCTCTGGGGCTGCCAGATGGCACCGACAAGGTTTTTGCCGAGAGGTGTGTCGATCGCAGTTTTACCACCGATCGAAGAGTCGACCATTGCGAGTAGTGTCGTTGGGACCTGGACAAATCTCACTCCGCGCATATAAGTGGCGGCAACAAAGCCCGTAAGGTCGCCCACAACGCCACCCCCCAGGGCAATAATAACCGTGTCTCGACCACATGGCGGACTCTGACTGAGCAGCCAGTCTTCAATGTCGTCCTTTGTCTGTCGAGATTTTGAGCTCTCTCCAGGTGGGATCTGATGGATCAACAACCGTGCCGATTTCCCCGTTTGACGGGCTGCATTTTCAAAGGCCTCTCGAAAGGATTGGGTGTAGAGCGATCCCAGGTTAGTGTCGGTAATCAAAACATACGTCGATGACTCCAAGTTCGACAGCAGATCAGGGGCGACATAGTCCCGCCACAACCCGAAATTGATGATGATGCTCTCTTTCCCGAGGAGGCTGACTCGAACTTCCTTCGCCGTCCCGTTGGCCAGAGGCATGATGGCACATTCAAGATACGGGACTTTTGGTTTTGTGAGACTGAGTCACGGAGAAGCAGCGGGTTTCAGAGCTTCGGAGGATGATTATTTTCATGTCTTGGCGGATCTAGACTGTGTTGGTGCTAGCTCTAGACTAGCACAGCCTTGCATTAATTTCACGACTCTTGATTGGATTATTTGTCTCCCCCGCTGCGTGCTCCGAGACGGAAAAAATCTCTGTGGGGAAATCTCATGATCTCTATCGACTTTCCCCTTCTTCTCTTCTCCTTCTTCTACCCAGGTTATTAGCGAAATGAAACACCTGATTACCACGTCCGGGCGGGACTCAAAGGCCCAGATTGATCATCTTTCTTGAGTGCGGCCCCCGTTTCGAAGACATGTTCGGAAGCGTCGATCTATTCCACATCAATAGTCATTCCCCGTAGACCCGTAAAGATGAGACCCCGTCACGAGGACCTCGATCTCATCACCGACCTCGACATACAGCTCACTGTCGCGATCGCGCGCCTCCTTGATACATGAGTCCTCCGGCACGCAATGCATCCCTAGGTATCCCAGCGCGGCAGGGTTCCCGGCTTCAACGGTGCGGTGCTCGATCAACGTCGTACTAGGTTGCGGCACTCCTTTCTTCCGATCCGGACGTGAATTGTCGTGCTCAAAGATCCCTGTGTTCGGATCGACGTTGGGCATGGTGCAGCGCGACGTCCGGCACACTACGGATAAAGTGCTAGCCGCCCTTGTAGATGCTCGAGAGGTGACAGTCTTTGGCAAGATCCGGTACCTCTTCCACGTTTCCTCGGAGAATGCAGGGGTGCCGGTCAAATAGATGTTTGCGCGGAATCGGAGCGCGCTGAGCGGCTGGTTCTCCGGCGGGAGAAGTTTTGAGACCGAGTGCACCGAAGACAAATTGATGATGTGGACGGGTTGCTGGTCAGTGTAGCCATGCATGGCAGGGGTGCCAATGTGATCTAGTGGAGCTAGGTTTCTGGTTGTGCGCACCAGAGTGTCTGGTGTGCACCTCATCAGGGTCAGGCTCTGTCGCTCAGGTATATTGAGAAACGTCTTCAGCTTGGGTATCGCTGCCGCCACACCAGGGAGCTGGCCGAGATCGAGCCCCGCTGCTTGGCGGCTATGGATTGTGAAGTGCCTCATCGGGATCTTCATTTGACTGATATGGTCAGCCGTTGGTAGTAGTGGCACCGTGAAGTGAACCTCGGGCTTTGCAGACAATGTCCATGTCTCTAACATGGCTTTTAATCGCTGGAGAAGACTGGCGGGATCGGGGTCAGGGAAGCTCACGGTGAGACAGCCGTCTGCTTCGACGAGCATGTCGCTTCGTTTACTATCCGGCCCTGGCAACCAGAGCCGTTGCTTGATGAGTGACATTTGAGGTTTGGTCCGTTGACTGATGAACTGCCATTCATCTTTCTTCGCTTCGACCGCCAGCGCAAAACACCTGTCATACGCAAAGCCCGTCTTGACGAGTTGCGCCCGCTCCAGCTCGACAGGAGCGCAGGACTTTATGGGGTGGATGTACAGTGCTTTGATCACGACCGGTGTTTTCGTGGTGGCTTCTTCGTCCTGACCATACTTGACATCGAACTGGTCGGCGAGATTGCTGACGCTGTGTATACCTACCCGTTGCAAGTACTTTGGCAACTTCCTGATCACGTAGATATGTCTGATACAGGCCAAAATGAATATGCCAATGTTGATGAACAGGATGATACTGAGAGTGCTGTGGAGGACCGCCCGGAGGTCCAATTCTTGCTGTAGCAGCCTTGCCAACATGGCGACTGATGCTCAATTTTAGAGACGCTGAGGTAACGAAAGCAGCAGAGACATGATACAACAATCGCCAGAGAGCAATGTCTCCTCGATTGTCGGATTTATATGATGCCTACTTTCGAGGTATTGCGAACCGGATAAACTACTGCGGGTGTCGGAAAAGACCGCGACGGAAAGTTAATTCACGCCCTGGCAATGACTTTCATATCGCGCCCATCATGACCACTACTGCATACTTGAAGAACATGGCCTGTCTGATAATTTGTCTCCCACAGTGTCTACGGTCCTGCCGTCCCCCGACAGCTCTAAAATAAGAGAGATGATAAGCGTCGCAACCAGCTGTTGGTCCGTAAATGAGGTTATATCAACCCGATTTGCAAAGTCCATTTCATCCCATCCCACTCTGACAATGTTCTATGCAGATCCCCCCCCGACTTCTTGCACCAACTATTCCAAAACTATTCCAAACTCTTCAGCGCATGTGTCCCCGAAGACGCGAGGCCTGTGTACCCATTGAACGGACCAGTCTCCTTCAACAGGACGGGCACCTCGTCGTCGCGCAATGACTCCAAGACCCCCTTCTCGGTCGGACGCCAGCCCAGCTTCCGCAGCCTATCGGCACGACTTCTTGAATTGGCGCCCACAGTGGTTGGACTGTACACTCCGAACAGGTCGCCATAGAGCTCGGGCGGCACGGGTCGCGGGGTGGGATCCTCGATCCTGCCGGCCGCGAGCAGAAGGCGGCCAATCTCGGCGGCGGCGTCCCCCCACGCCATGTCCTCGCCGGTGCTGCAGAAGAAATACGGGTTCGCGAGGACCTCGTCGGCGGTGCTGCGCCGCATCCACTCCAGGATGACCATGTACCCGCGCACCAGGTCCTGGACGTGGATGTTGCTGCGCACCGAGACGCCCTTGCCGATGACGGGGACCCAGCCGTGCTTCAGCGCGAACCGCACCATGGTCGGCAGCTGCATCGACACCCGTCCCGAGCACTTGCCGATCCCGTAGACCAGGCAGGGCAGCACGATGACGATCTTGGCCTTGGTGCCCAGCTCGCGCCGCGCCGCGAGGATGGCCAGGTCGATGGCCCGGTGCGGCGCCGTATCGGGCACGCTGTCGATCTCCTCGGGCCGCTCGTCCGAGTAGATCTTGTCCGACTTGTACATGCCCTTGGAGTTGTCGACCAGGACGCTCGTCCCGCTGGTGTGGAGGAAGGTCGTTTCCAGTCCCTGCTCGGCGCGTTGGCGCACGCCGTCCAGCACGGCCTCGACCGAGGGCAGATGGTCGGCCGTGGCCGTGTGGATCACGATGGGGCTCGCCGCCGAGTGCTTGCGGATCGTCTCCTGGTCGTCCAGCGTGCCCATGACCACTTTGGCCCCGAGCCCTTGGACCTGCGCCGCGTGTGCCTCCCGCCGCACCATGGTGGTGACTTGATAGCCGGCCTGCACCAAGAGTTCAAGCAGATCAGTGCCGATCAGGCCGGGGCCTATCAAGAACACGCTCTTCTCTGCCGCCATGGCTGGAGAGTCGTAGAAATATGCGATCTCACGGAGAAACACAGAGTCACTGAAATCGTACTAGGTTCTGAGCAGGAGTCCGAAAGTGTAGCGTAAGCACCAGCCGAAACGTATAGCAAAAGCCGTGCTATTTGTATCTTTCGTCTGCGTGGCGTTTCGTCGAGGTTAGCTCACGCGGTATACAGTAGAACGCATGTGTCTATACACAATCACGTATCTATATATCCGTTCTTCTTGCCCCCTTTCCCCGCATTCTCCACGCCGGTAGATCAGGCGGGCATCGTCGTACTCCAAACAAATTGCCAGGGGTACGACCGGCGTGACTATCCGGATTGTCTCCGGGCAGCGACCGCGAGCTCGACTACACATGTACCTAGGACGGAGACTTTTGGCTCAATACTTGGAAGAAACAGTAAATGACTAGCTCGGGTAAAGTCATAATGAATCTGAATACATCTCTCATCCACTCAAGTCCGCGGGATTCTCCATGCATACATTACTGGACCTTTCCGTCATGACTCGTCAGAATGATCAATGACATAGCCCTTGAACTGTCGCGCCGGCACCCGTCTCTCGAACAAGATATCCAACTCTTCAAAAGTCCGGTTCTTGGTCTCTGGAAGACGGAAGAAGCACCATGTGAGCGAGATGATGGAGATGCCGCCGTACAAAAACTCGATCTTGGCCCCAGCATTTGCCGCACCAGGGTTGAGGAGGTACGGGCCGATCACCGTGGTGACCAGTCCGGTCGCAGCATTGATCACGGTTGCCAGCGCTATCGTCTTCGACCTGAGTTTCGTCGACGGAGATTCGCACACGACAACGTAGGTAAGCGGGCCGAGAGTCATCTGCCAAACAAACTGGAGGGTGCACAAGAGTGATGCTTGCGCCCAAGAGTACGATGGGTTGCTTTCATAGTCTGACGCCAGACACATGAAGGCCACGACGAAGAGAATAACGATGATATAGGCCAGGCCTGCCATGTAACAGATGCGCCGTCCAAAGTAGATGAGGGGGATGGCAGAGGCAAGAGTTCCGAGGAATCCAAGCCCGTTGAGTCTGTGGTGTGGTGAAATACATGTTAGTTATCAGAGCACATGATCATGACTTGTGGTTTGCCTTGTTCGAGCACTTACCCAAGACCCATGTCAAACGAGTGTCTAGCACTCAATCCAACTTGCTCAAAGAGGTAGGTTGCAAACCCCACGGGATTGCCCGAGAAGTTCTGGATGACGAAGAGCATGATACAAATTTCCATCCTCCTGCGATTCGGGCCCTTCCAGCAATCCATGTAAGTGGTGCCGACTTCGACCTGGCGCTCGTACAAATCTGGACCAATTCTCGGTTAGCACTGACACTGCGAAGTCACCGAGAACAAGAAATGTCCCGCGCCCAAGTAGATGGTAAAGAAACACGGCTCTTACCGGTCTTCACCATCATAGCCAAAGTGTTTGTCACTTCCACCTTTTCGTGCTTCTCCGACAGTCTCTTGAGAGACCCTTCCGCTTCCTCCATCTTATGCTGTCGTACAAGCCACCAAGGGCTTTCTGGGGCCCAAACCAAGCCCGGGAGGATGATAATTGGCCATAGCCACTGGATGCAATAGGGTATCTTGTATGCCCACTTGTCTGATCTGTTGATAAAGCCCCTCGTGATCCCAGTCTGAATGAACTGGCCCATCACATAGCACAAATTGATATATCCAGTGAAGAACCCTCGGAGTTTCAATGGAAGACATTCCGAAGCATACGTTGGGGCAAGGACGCAGTACCCACCCCAGATAATGCCTGACAAGTCTATTCAGGGAAGAAAAGCAGATGTCAGTCGCACTCTTGGTTCATAAGGTAGTAGGAAAGTACTTACACATGCTCGTCGTCAAGACCTCAATGTTTGGAGCAAAGACCTGCATGAACACCAAAGCGGAGGTTAAGAGGAGATATATAGCCAGTGTCTTGCGGCGCCCAATCCTCTCCATTGGCCAAGCAACAATATATGCACCAATGATTTGCCCGACGAGAGAGCCCATAGACATAGCGACCTGCCAGTTGGCGGGGATCTGATAACCATGACCAGGTACTTCGTGGCCGAAATGCCTTTGGAACGATGGAAGCGCGAAGAAGTTGCCGGTGATCTCAATATCGTACGCGCGCATGATGATGGACAAGGAAAAGAAGATAGACCAGAAGGCGCCCTTACGGTAGATCTTCAACGCCTCGAGATAGGTGAGCTCATGTTCTGTGTGTGTGCCCTGGTTGGCCATGGACGTGCTGATGCTGTCGAGTTTGCCGGTGACCTCTGCATCAGTGAGTGTCTTCTCCATGGTGAGGCCCGGTTCGAGACTAGCAGAGTGTTCAATGAGCGTGGTGCCATCCTTCTCCTGTGTCTGGGTGGTAGCCATAGTGGTTGCTGGACTGGTTGTACCGGATACAATACGACCCGGGCAAAGTCACAAGGGTTCGAGGTTGGGAAGAATACAAAGTAGACAATGTAGCTCGAACGTCATCAAGCTCGAAGGACGGCGATTGAAAGCTTCCAGCAGAGACATCTCATTCTTATGAACATGTTGGCTTGAATGCAACATTGCCAGCCTGCTGCTTTGGTGTGATACAAGTCCAATGACTGCACAGCAAAACCGCCATGTTTTCCGACAAAGGTGGCCCATCTTCCAAGTTTTGGTTAGCTATAACACCCCAACATTCTGGGGAGCGTAAAGACTTGATCGTTTTCAGAATGATCTGCGACAATTGGGTCTTCATCTGCTCGACCGCCCCGTGGGGAAGCCAGAAGTCAAGGTCGCATCGCTTCTCTGAGCCATCAAGTCGAGCGGGATCTTGCCGTAACCGTATTGCCGAAGGGACCATCCTGAGTGGCTGCTGATGAGTTGGTGGCTGATGTTCATCACGGTTAATCGGCAATAAGGGTCAGGCTTCTGGACCAAGATGCTGAAGACTTGCCTTTAGCCCTACACCCGATGTCTAAAGAATCGAAGAAATATCAGAGATGGCGTGGCTGAGGTCTCTGGCAAGGAGATGCGACCTCAGGAGAACTGTGACAACCACTCCTAATCCGCAGCCATGAGGTCGGTTGCTGTCAAGAAAATCATCCTGTTCGGTGATTCACAGACTGAGCAGAGTTCAAGCCAATCTGGCGGGTTCAACCTTGCGCCGGCGTTGCAGCACGAATACTGGTCCAAGTTACAGGTCGTAACACATGGATATGGCGGGTACAACACGGAACATGGACGCCATATCATCGACGCCATTCTCCAGGCAGAAGCGCCGTTAGCGACCCGAACCACGCAAAGTCGCAATTCTGTCAAGTTATTGGTGATATCATTTGGCACAAACGATGCGGCAGATCCCAGACACAACAAGCATTCACAAAGCGTACCCATCGATAGATACATGGAAAACCTATCACACATGGTCGAGGCAGCGAAACAGCGTGGAGTTGAAGCCGTGGTTCTCATAGGACCAGGACCAGTCAACGAGCTCGCACCCGAAGCCCCATTAGATCGACTTACCGAGAGGGCAAGACTGTACTCGGATGCCACCGCACAAGTCGCAAGGCAATTCGGCACGCAGAGCAATGTCGCTTTCGTTGACCTGTGGCACGCTTTCATGGATGTTGCAGGGTGGACGGCAGAACAGCCTATCCCTGGACGGAGAGAATGCGTTGAAGAGGTTCACTTGAATGCCCTCTCCCAAGATGTCGCCGGGTTTGTAACGCTCTCGAGGTTGTTGGCTTCCGATGGTGTCCACTTCACAGCAGAGGGATACCAGATCTGGTACAGCGTGCTCCTACAGACCCTTCGCGAACAGTGGCCGGCGCTCAGGTCGGAAAATTTGAAGACAATTTTCCCACCCATTTTTGACATAGACCCAAGCAATCTGCAAGCTTCATTGTGGCAGCATTTAGAGGAGGCCTGAATGTTATTTATACGGAAAAGCAAGCGTTCGAGTCACTAGATCGTTGGCATTAGTATCGTTGATCAAATCTCCTGGGCTCGACAGTGAGGTATTCTCGAGAGTGTGACGACTCCTCTTGCCAATTGCTCCATGCCATGAAGCAAGTAGTCGTCCTGCTTTACAAATATTAGGGCGCAGGGTAACGTCAATCTCGAACACATCTGCGCCTGACGTTGCTGACAGGCTGCAACGGCCAATGATCGAGAGGGCGCCCATGTTTTTCGCGGGGGAAATGACTGCCAGGGCACCGAAGGATATCCTTCTCCTTGCCGAAATGCCGACGCCGCTTCATGCTCATCTTTCCAGACTGGGGAAGTGGCGCTGTGAAGCTGATCAAATGAACGTATAGCCGATGAAACATTGCCCCTCCATTCCGGGGTCTAGAGGATGTTCTGCATTACAGTGTGGCTCTGAGGTTAGCAAGAAGGTATGGAGGCACTAAATATGAGTGGTGTGTTCACCCGTGGTTATCTGCAAGAATCATACAGTAGGAAAATTGGTCTGTAGAGTCACGCGGAAAGCTGGAAGCACTGCTGCCACGTGACAAGTCTTGGCACTCGAGGCGCAGGCAAATGCGGGCCTCGCCGCATCTGGTTTCTGCTTCCGCCCCGTCATCAGGAGACCATGGGATGCCTACAACAGTGCAGCACAGAATCAAACGTGCTGCGAAAGCCTGTCTATCCTGTCGGAAACGGAAGATCAAGTGTGACTATGCAACAAAAGGGTCGCCGTGCTCGAATTGTGACCAGGATGACTTCGAGTGCCTGGCGGTGGAAAGGAAGAAGCGAAAAACCACCGTCGTAAGGACTCTTCCCGGAGTGAACACTACCAACCTATCTTCTCCGCTTGCCCAGGCATGTCACGAACCCCCCGGCACATCGGCGACTCGCTTCCAGGGAAGTGGCGAATCTGTTGTCGATGCGCTCTCGGCAACTCCAGAGGGGCTTGAGCAACGTTCAACTCGACGGACATCGTCCTTTTCCAGGCACAGTTTGTTGCATTCGGTCCCCCATTATGCCTTTTTGATGCGCCTCTCTGAACCCCAACGTTCCGATACAAGGCCTTTGGAGGACATTGTGCTTCAGTTGGCATCAGACAAAAACCAAGGGTCTTCTGCCCCGAGCTCGACATGCGGCGAGAGTGAATTGCACTATCTCAGGACTGTTGGTTGTTTCGATATTCCTCGACGAGATGTTCTTTCGGCGTTGATTGATGCTTACTTAACCATCTTCCACCCATTCTTCCCTGTTGTTCAGAAACCGGAGTTCTTAAAGTCCATTAAGTCCATTGAAGTTTCGCTAACCACCAGTCCATACGGTGCATCTCAAGCCAGCCCAGCTCAAAATGCTTCTGGTCACGAGTTGGCCCCTCAAAATTCACAGTTCAGTCTCCTACTCCTTCAGGCTGTGCTTTTCATAGCGATTGGAGTCGTGTCTTCAGAGGTCGTTTCGGCGGCAGGATTCACATCCCGCAAACAAGCACGCCATACATATTACCTCAAAGCCCGCAGACTCTATGACCTTGACTATGAAGAAGATCCGATTGCAACTATTCAGGCCTTATTATTGATCAGTCAGTACTATCCTTCCATCACCGAACGGAAGCATACGTGGCATTGGATACACCAAGCTATCAGTTTGGCGCAAGTCAGCGGGCTGCACAGAGATCCTGGCAATGTCGCCCATCGGGCTTTGTGGGCGCGAATCTGGTGGGCTTGCGTTGTACGGGACCGCTGCAATGGCCTAGGTACCGGTCGTCCTCTTGTGATCAACAGCCTGGACTGTACCACGGCAATGCTGGTCCTTGACGATGTCAAAGAAGAAGGTGACTCTGAACAAGATCTTGAAATCAAAGCCATGTTCATCGAATTCGTCAAGCTTTGCCAGATCGTCGAAGGCATAGTAACTTTGCGCTATTCAAGCTCAGCGACAGACACGACACCTCCGGATCAACTTCAAGTCTGTGAAGATGCCCTGGAGCGCTGGACGCGCTCCCTGCCTCCTCAAGCGAAACGACAAGGCCACCTACAAACTGTCTCGGAGAATATGGGGGTCGCTACTATGTATCGTGCAATTTTGCACGCATGCTTGAATACCATTCGCATTGCTTTGTATCAGTCACTCACTTTGTGGAATGGAGCTGGGGATTGGACTACCACTTGCCAGCAAAAGGTTGAGTTTGCGGCTTTGGATAACACGCAGCTCTTTACTCATCTCGTCAACCTCGACCTGGTGCGATTCTGTCCCACAATCGCTGTGACATTTACTTTGGCGCCTCTCATTGTGCATGTCCTCGGAATTAGATCTTCACGATCGGAGGAAAGACTTCAGGTTCATAAGAACCGATTTGAGCTTTGCATGATATTCTTGCGCCAGCTGCGGGATATTTATTGGCACGCTATTTTTTACTGCGAATTCTTTGAGCTAGCCGCGTCAATCAAGGACCATCAATTGAGAACGCAGATGTCAGAGGCTCATGATCCTCTAGCTTCGTTCCTCACTCAGCGCATCAGCGTCGGCGATCTCATGGTGCTTCGACATTATCAGAATCTCGGCAGGGATGGTGAAGTGGACGATCTATCCCTGGCCTCGGCAGCATCACCGATATATCCGCGGGGATGGCCTCAAAACGCGAGACCAGACGGTCACGATCATGATAATCAAGGAGAGGGGTCGTCGAATCTGAACATACAAAGCCATTCGTCTGTCTCTGCGGATCCTGACCCGGTCTACCTGAACCACATTGAATCTATGAACATGAATGAATGGCTAGCGGCGCATTCGCGGGCTGGTCAGTCCATTCCATTTGCCTGAAGTCCTGAGTCGCGGACCTCAGCTCAAGGTGGTACACCAATCTTAGAGTGACTGATACCTGGATGCTTTCGGTGCCTCAAGCCAAGCCGCTGTTGATGATCGACAAGCCATCTGGGGAACGCCAGAACGTGCCTTCTGGATAGCTGTACTGCGCGATCGCAGTGTCTCGAAACTCGACACTGTATCCGGATTCTAACGGTGTCACAAAAAACCCATCCTGCGTTTGTAACGGCGTTGTGAGGACGTGGTTATAGGTGGTGATGTTCTCAAGCATGCTCCGCTCCCCAGATACGCAAAGATAATCTACCAGAGACAAGTGCTGCGTATACTCATTCAAGCCTATGCCACCACTGTGTGGGACAACAGGGACTCCAAACCTGGAATCATCGTCAGCTGTTTGGCCTAAGCGACTTTACGGTCTTTCCTCTTACTTTTTTGCCATAAGAAGGACGGCCAGAACCTCATTCACGCCGCCCAAGCGGCACGCATCAATCTGGCAGACATCGATGGCCTCAGCTTGGAACAACTGTTTGAACATTACTCGATTATGACACATCTCCCCTGTTGCGACGCCTATGCCATGAGCTTTGAGGGCTTTTCGGACGGCAGCGTGCCCGAGAATGTCATCCGGTGACGTGGGCTCCTCAATGAAACTGCGCATTCAGGCCTTGTCAGTGGACGCTGCTTCACGGGCAGTGGAGTGGCACGTACGCTGGTTTGAACTCGGCGAGCTGAAGCATCCATTGTATCGCCTCGGATACACCCCAGACTTGATTCGCATCCACCATCAGAGTCTTCTCTTCGCCCATGAGTTCTCTAGCGATCCGGCATCGTCGCTTGTCGTCCTCGAGATCCCTTCCGACCTTTAATTTGAACTTGTCGTGGCCAGCAGCGAGGAGGTCTTTCATCAACGTTCGCATCTTTTCGTCCGAGTATCCCAACCACCCTGCCTCGGTTGAGTAAGCAGGAACCGCTCGATTGGCTTCGGCGTCGCGAAAGCGCTGTGGCTTTGTTGTCTCCTGGGCCTTCAACAAAGCCATTGCTTCCTGCGGTGTTATCGCGTCCTCAATATAGCGGAAGTCAATGCACCTCACGAACTCATCCGCGCTCATATCAGCGATGAGTTTCCAAACAGGCTTGTTCTCTGCCCGCCCCCAGAGATCCCATAAGGCGTTGACACAGGCGGCTAGGCCCAGGTGGATTACACCCTTTTCAGGCCCTACCCACCGGAGCTGGGAGTCAGAGACTAGATAGCGCCATGTTTTGCCCATATTAGACGTTAAATCAGCGAGCCGTTTACCAACAAGACGCTCTGCTGTGGCACGGGCTGCTTGGCAGACCAGATCATTTCCACGACCAATAGTGAACGAGAAGCCATGTCCTGCCAAATGCGAGTTGGTACTCAGAACGATGTACGCGGCACTATAGTCAGGAGCTCCATTCATTGCATCTGAGCCCGCCGAGGTGAGGCTCGTTGGGAAGCGCAGGTCTGGTTCGACAATTTAGTCCCTCAAAGTGTCTCAAGCTCACATATAGTCAAACTCACCATGGACTTGATATGACTGGATGATTACTTCACCGAGGCCCTCTGAGTTGTGGTTAATGCTATTCGACATTCTTGAGTCGCCCGCCATTATGTCGTTCAAAATGCTCGAATGATCTAGACTGAGTCGTCACTTTAACGCCCTTTTTGAGCGGAAAGGTGCGGCTGTCACGATTCGCAGCGATACCGGGTTTTTTTTTTCCAATCATGACCAAATTCAGGAGAAATATTATTGAAATAACACGAATCTTTCCCTTTCAAATACTTTCAACAGCCTGTGGCACTGTATCAGCTTCCGGCGCTGGTCATATCCGCCCAAGTGCAACTGTAACTCGAATGTGGGCCGATTCCTAAGAACAGACCGAATTACCGAATATGGGCATCTGATTGGTACACACTGAGCCGGGGATCTGCTCCATTTCCCGAAAGGCACAGGGAAATGGCCGGGGGTCTTGTCGACGGCCTTATGGTCTTCAGGCTTCGGCAACCTGATATGCCGACTACGTACCCTGAAAGCCACCAAGACAATGACTGAATGCGACTGGGATCTCGAAAGTCGTGTGAAATTCGCCTGTTGTCATCTGGCAGAGAAGCTCAGATATGCTTTACGAGCGCCAGTTTCCACAGTAAGCATTAAACCATTATCAAATCAATCTATTAGACTGAGGACGAAGCATTCCCTACTGCCTACCTGGAATGGATCCATCACATCATCTGTATTACACCGCACCAGCCACGGGCTTTCCGCAATCACTTCCGCTTGGGAATGGCAGGATTGGGGCCAGTCTTATTTCCAGTGCAGACGTGGATATACTTCTTCTAAATGAGATCACCTTCTGGTCGGGCAAGCCATACGAGCCGCAAAGCCAATATGGTGGCAAAGCTACCATCAATGAGATGCGTGAGCGCTATGTACAAAAGAATCAGCAGGCCGTGCAAACTTTGGCAGAGAAATGGTTGCAACCTTCGAAAGGGAATTTCGGGACAAATCTGGGGGTGGGAAGACTCAAAATCGAGCATTCTCTCTCTGCAGCAGTTCCTCAAGGCACCGTCGAAAAGCGTAAGTTCGAGAGAGGTCTGAGGTTGGACGAAGGGATTGGCTGGGCGTCGTATGCATTGGACGACCCTGGCACCCAGATCAGTAGGGAATTATTCATCTCCCATCCCCATCAAGTCATCGCCATGAGAAACTCAACGAACAATCAGACCGGCATTTCCTGCAAACTCAGTTTCGAAGGAGAAACTAGAAGTTGGTCTACGAAGAAACCAAACGAGGCTGAGTTGGAAATCCACACGCACGCACTCGAGACGGTGCACAGTGACGGCACATGCGGTGTCAAGCTGCATGGTCTGGTTCACCTCCAATCTGATGGCGAGCTGCTTCCTACAGAAGAATCTATTTCTGTAGTGAATGCTTCCTCCGTGGTGATATTGGCTGCTATGAACACAGACTATCTGGTCCCGCCTGATCAGGACTGGTATTCCCTGTCCCGTGCTCAGATTCAGACCGCTCTGGAGGCCGGATATGTCAAACTCAAGAAGTCCCATACACAAGACCACCAGGACTTCTACACTCGGGTTGCTCTTACGCTCGGTCTTCCTTCATCGGCATCATACCTTCCTACAGACCAACGTCAAAAAGCTCTCGCGGCCTCAAAGGGTGGCCAGCCAGACGATTTGCCCCTTTATGCACTATACTTTAATTATGGTCGTTACCTTTTGATAGCAGGTACTCGTTCGGACTCTCCACTCCCGCTTCATCTACAAGGCCTCTGGAATGACCGAGAAGCCAATGCGATGAACTGGTCTTGCGACTACCATCTCGACATCAACACGCAGATGAACTACTTTCCGCTCGAGCCATGTGGTCTTGGGAACGAATGCCATCAGCCACTTGCAAAGTACATGCAGAAGCTTGCGCAAGCTGGAGTCGAGTCTGCGAGGAATTTCTACGGCACGCAAAAAGGCTGGGTTGCCCACGTGTTCTCAAACGTCTGGGGATTCACAGCGCCCGGCTGGGAAACAAGCTGGGGGCTCAATGTCACAGGAGGGCTCTGGATGGCCATGGAAATGAAAGAGCACTGGGAGTATACTCTCGACAAGGCAAATTTAAAAGGCTATGCTTGGGACGTTTTGAAAACTGCGGCCGAGTTCTTCCTGGAGTATATGTCCACAGCCGACCCAAAGACGGGCTACATTGTAACCGGACCCTCCGTGTCGCCAGAGAACACCTTCTTTGTCGATCAACGAGGTAAGCGTGAGGAACATGCATTGAGTCTATCCCCAACTCTAGATGTGGTGCTGGTGAGAGACCTTCTGGCATTCTGCATTGATGTGCTGCCAATGCTGGAAAACAAGGATGCCATGAACGACGACTTCATGCGGCGTCTCAAAGAGACCATACCTAAACTCCCACCCCTGCAAATCGGCAGGCATGGCCAACTGCAAGAATGGCTGGAAGATTTTGAGGAAGCCCAACCGGACCACCGCCACATGTCGCACATCATCGCCCTCATCCGCAGCAGCCAGATCCGCAAACGACACACTCCCGAGTTGGCAGAGGCTGTGCGAGTCACGCTCGAAAGGCGCCGAGCCCGCGCCGAGCTGGAAGACATTGAGTTCACGGCCGTGCTGTTCGCCATGGGCTTCGCGCGGCTCGACGACGGCGACGCCGCGCTCAAGCCCCTGACGCATCTGATCGGGGAGCTGTCGTTCGAGAACCTCCTGACCTTCTCCAAGCCGGGCATCGCCGGGGCTGAGACCAACATCTTCGTTGTCGACGGCAACTTTGGCGCGACCGCCGCCGTGGCGGAGCTGTTGTTGCGCAGCGTGCTCGTCGGAGACGTCGAGGTCCTGCCTGCTCTGCCGGAGAAATGGGCCGTGGGCGGACACGTCAAGGGCCTCCGGGCAAAGGGCAACCTCGTCGTCGACATCCAGTGGAGCGAGGGAGTCTTGGTCGAAGGGACAATTCACAATGCCGGCCAGGACGTGTCGTCGGTCAAGGTCTACTACCGGGAACGATCCGTAGAGATGGAGCTCCAGCCCGCCGCGACGGTGAAATTGGACCACGAGCTTGTTGCGCGATGAAGAACTCGGACAAAATCTCACGATTTTTGGGAAAGGATGAAAATAAACACGAGTATTATGCGAGTTGCGTTTCTATACTACAGAACCGACTAATTCTCGAACCGCTCAATTTACAGTGCATGCCATGCAATGTCATATCCAGGATGTTTTGACCCCAATAGATGTCCAATTTCCATCTCCGTCTCCATCGATCGCGGTCTGGCTCCTTATAACCTTGACATCCTCTGACAGCAGGAACCAGAGACTTATCCTGTGCTGTTCGAGTAAGTACGTAGTATGTATGCTACGTAGCATGCGCACATATATGATTCATCAAATCTCTTCTCACTGAAAAACCTTTTGCATCATGTCATGTCCTGTCATGTCCCCACACACACACACACATATATATAGATGTAGATTAGATGTCGATGTCATCCGGTTCATTCATTAACTTGGGGTGTCCAAGATCAACGCGAGCCATGCCGGCAAGAATGAAGGAGGTATAAGGCTAGAATTTGCGCTCGCTTGCTAAAGAAAATGCAAAACTAATAAATTTTGTTATTGTAGTCGAGGAAAGGGGTCCCCCGTATTTAGGCGCGTTTCTCGTTGTGCTGCGGCGAGTCAGTAGTGGCGGCGGCGGTGGTGGTGGTGATGGGCGACTGAGTGAGAGAACCAGAGGATGGTAAGACGTGAGGGGACGCGGAGGCGGCGGTAGAGGTGCCAGCGGCAGCGTCGTGGTCTGGTCGCGGTGTGCTGGGGAGCTGGGTGGTGATGGGAGGGAGACCCTCGGCGGCGGTGTTGTCGTCGCTAATGCCAGGTTCCGCGGTTGGATCCCCCAAGGTCTGCGTCTCGGCGTCGTCTGTGTGCACCTGCTCGCCTTCGTCGGCCTCGATCTGGTCGTGGTCGCTGATGGCAGGGAACGCGGAACTGCCCATCGTGACGGAGCTGCTCTGGCGGCGCTCTGCCTTTGTCTGCCTGCTTGTCTGTGGTCCCGCGGTGGCATCGATGAAGTGGAACGTGGCTGTCCTGCCGGGCATTTGGAACGATCTTGGTCGATTTTCAGGGGGACTGCTGTGAGGGGCCGCGGCGGCGGTATTAGTGGTATTGGTGGCGGGAGGCTTACCCGGCTGTGTCTGTGGTGGTGGTCGTCGCTGCTGTTGTGAAGGAGGAGGCGACGTATCAAGGGGATCTTGCGGTCCCATACTGTCCCGCTTATCGCCCTTCAGCGTGGCCTTCTTGAGCTTGTACGTCTGCCACCACGAAGTATTGCCCTTACGGATATGCGGGAACAGGTCCCATTTGTCCATGCTCTCCTCTTCGTCCGTGGTGAGTGCGAGCCACGCGTACAGGTCCTGCCGTTTCTTGGACCGTTCCTGGCCTTCTTTGCGCCCGCTGACCCATTTCTTGTCCTTGTCTTTGCCTTCCTCGTGAAACTCGTATGATTCCGGCCACTCGTAGATCTCGGCCCGGAGCCGGGATCCGACCCAGCACTGCCGGACTTTGCGGAATTCCGTGGGTTTCGCGCCCTTTTCAGCGTCTTCCTGTCGCTTGCTTTTGACGTTCTGTCCGTGGAGTTTACCCCTGACCCAAGCTTCAAAGTTTGTGAACCACTCCGAGTCGTCACACCCAACTTTTGCTATCAGTAAGATGGTTGGTAGCACCATCAGAGCGACCGTGTACATCTGACTCGCCAGGTCTGCCATGCCGATGGCGACAATGTGTACGGCAAAGGCCAGCCACCCAATCGACCGCACGGCGAAATATGTTTTGGGATTCAATATTACAGGCCCCTCAATAAAGACCGACGGCGCAAACAGCAACTCGTTGGGCATCCAGAAGGTGACGGCTTTCGAGTCAGATTGGATAATGAGGACCTTGGTGGGTGTACCGTTCCAGACCTCGGTCTTTTTGTCGTAATCTTTGGGGTTTGGGCGAGTCGGACGATTCATCGACTGCACATTCTGAGTAGATTGCTTCGGTCCGCTTGAAGGGGTCGATGAATTGCTCCCACTCGACTGGGCTTCCTGAGATGCTGACGCTGTCACCCTGCTCCTTACATTGGATTTCTTCTCGTGTTTCCTTTCTTGTTTCGATAGCTCCCACGCGTATCGTTTCGCTTCGTAGGTATTTCCTTCGGGTTTTGTTGTGTTGATGACTTTATCGACCATAGCATCAAATGCGATGCGCTGCTGACCGATCACATAGGCACGGATGATAATGGAGACAATCATGGCAATTGCGTTAGCGAAGCCATACCAATCCTTGGAGAGAATCGTGCCGGCAACGAGGAAGCCATTCAGTGCGACGCTTATGACTACCGAGAATGTTATTTCATTCTTTCGAGATATCGGCGGCGTCACCGTCCAGACCACAAAGTTGCGAGTGGTCTCGAATTGCTGCGAGAGCATCCATCTCGTCAACCAGGCGGCGAGGTCGGTCGTATGGATGCCTTGTGATATATTGTAGAGATTGAAGCCAGCAGCTTTCTCGGTGAATCGGTTCCCAGCAATGACATACGCGCCCAGCAAAGGCAAATACTCAAGATAGGCACTGCTCACGAGACGGCCGACCGCTGCATTGACCTCTTCAGCTCCCAAGAGTGTTACAAGACCCAGGGCGTCAATATGAAAAGGAGACCAATGCAGGAGAACTTTCCAGGGAGCCCATGATGTCGTGTCAGTATGAGCCATGGTGGATCTCTGATATAGTTCTGACAAGCAATCGGAAGGATGGTGTGGAACGGGTCGTCGGGAGGCGGCAACGGCGCCGGAAAGTAACCTCGACTCTTCAAAAACAAACCATGAAATCCATCATTGAAGTGGATTGAAGAGAGGGGAGATGTGCTCGAATACTGGACTGATGGACAAGGGCGAGCAACGAAAAGAGAAAAATAAAGAGGTGGGAATTTCTCATGCGGCTGAAAACCAGTCAAGCTTGCTCTGGAGACAGGCGGCTGCGATACTCTTGTGGACACTTTCGGCCCCCAAATCGAAGACAGAGACTAGCCATTGCCCTTAACCGAAAAGTACATCGTCTGTTTCAGCCTGATACTTGGGTGCCACACGAGATTCATGTTGACAGTGCCGCACCAGTGTATGTATATATGTAGCAGAGTACAAAGGCTGATTGGTTCGCGCTGGAGACTTACCTTGTAGTTAATTAGACCCCTGAAGACGAAAATCATACAAGAATGCTGAGAACGAAGTGTCATGAACCTGTACAGAAGACGCGAGGCTGAAATGAAACGCGCACGTGACAAGAATCTTGGCGAGGCTGAGTTCGGAAAACTTTCCCCTGATCCAGTCCAATTCCCAACATCCGTCGCAGCTCACTGGTTTCTACTCAGCCTCATGTCTCGGAGAAGTTCATTCCAGTGATTGCCAATTGTCTTGTCAGCATCAGCATTGAAATAGGAGGGCAAGATGTTGCATCCCAAAGCAGTCACTTTCCAGATGGAATTTTGCTGGCAACAGCCACGGAATGATAGCATCGCAAACGCGATCATCAGGCTCGTGATATATCCTGATAAGCTTCAAGAACATCCTGAATTCAAGGAGCATACTCAATATCCGCATCATGATGAGGCAGCGAGTTCTTTGAGGCGAGAGTCGTGGAGGGGTCCTCAAGGCTGAGACTGGGGGAGGCCTGATTGCAAGCAGTCTCTCAATGCCTACCTCTCCGTGTCATTTGCTCTGGATCTCTCTGGCCTGAGACAGTCGGGCACAAAGAATCAATTGTCTACTTGCTCTACAACAATGATTCCAGGCTGTGGGCAGTGGCAGTCCTCCACCCTCTTCTTAGAGGCACGCAGCGGTCTCGGCAAGGCAGGACGACTCGTGGGTTGTGGACAAAAGCACGTCTTCCGAGCCTTTGTGGTTACGAGACAAGATCATAAAGGGTTTCCTGGTGCCCTAGAGACACTCCTTGTTGAAGCTGCCCTCTGAGACTGCCCTCTGAGGCTTCTGGGACATGAAGGCAGTGTTCGGCAACTGTAAGTCTTCGAATATATAAGTTTATCCGCGAGCTCTCGGTTTTCTATCTCTCCTTACCTTTTCCAAGTCCCATCAAGTCTACATCTCAATTCTAGAACTACCTTTCAGCACTCTCTGCTTCCATTGGCGCGATCCTCCATTTCTCGAACATCATCAGTTACCCTTCTCATCTCGTTCGACCACTCATAGCATCATGCACAAGAAGACCCAGAAGTATCAGTCTCCGACACCAGAGCCGGCTCCAGCACACACTGCTGAATGCATTTGCCGAGCCTGTGCCAATGGTCGGTGCCCATGCGGACGTCGATTGCACCGCGGAAAGCCACAGACACGAGCCTGCACTCGATTGGAATGCAAGAACCCTGCATGCATCGGTGGCAGGACTGTTAACTAAAGAAATTCACCTTAGGATTCATTCGTCGACCACAAGTCTCCGACTCGGTCCTTTTCATCTCTGCTGGACAGAGATCATCGCATATACTTCTCAGTGATTATCCTTGGCCTCGGGTAATCGATTCGAGTGCTGAGGAACAAAGACACCATCGAACCAATCTACAACTACATTCTGGAGATGTAAAGTGAACCTGGAGAACAAGATCGCAACATCTTTCGAACACGGTGGTTTACGGAGCAAAACAGCCGGAAGGAGTTGGACGACTTTGTGGCATTCGACCAAAATCATGCGACAATGCTATACAACTGAAAATCCGGAACCTGCTGCCTCTGACGCTGTCAGCGTCTCGGGCAGTGAGAAAGACAAGCCATGGTATTCAAGAGACGGGGCGGATGGGGAGGCTTTCTGTGTGTGCAATCTCATTCCTGCTGTGACTATGACATGTGAAGGTTCTGGAGAGTTATATTGTCACCTGAAGGAAATTTGCGATCTCTCTCACAACCTGACACTCTTTTGGGAAATGGAAATGGACAGTGCTCGCGTGACGGGGCATCAACGAGAGAGTGCGCCACCGCTGGACTGTACCGTCGATGGTATTGGACAATTTCTTTTGTTTCGGCTCTGGTATGGTG